ACGGATTACCTAGTTTTTCATAAACTAAATAAATATATATATATATATATATATATATATGAATGGCAATATATATATATATATATATATATATATATATATATATATATATATATATATATATATATTGGCATTCAATTAATCATTGTTTGTCTGATATAAACATTGGTATATCATTTCTATAAACGAGAATATAGGCTTAAATCTACAAATCCATTTGATACAAGCATATAAATAGTGAAACTGGGATAATCGTAGTAAATACGTACATACATAAAACGAATGATCAGAATACCACAAAAAAATCGATCTTTATCATTCATAACCTATTATATCTATGTTTTATAAATTTAACAGGTATATTTTTTTGTCTTGATAGGCGGCGACGATCAGAGTCTCTTCGATTAGTTCGACCCGCAATCTGCAAACTTGGGACGACCTCGTGGTATACCACGCTGTCGTTGGAAGGACGTCATCCGCTAGGACCTACGGTAGATTAATCTGGCGCTGGAAGATGTTCAGACACTCTGTCAAATGAATTAGAGCTGGAGGATCAAGGTGGCTCTTCTGGGCTCGATGCCTTCATGCCATGAGATTTAGCATCAGCTGCAATCGGCGGTAATGTCAGAAATGATGATTTTGTTCCGTTATTAGCAGAAAACCTATTTACAGGAAGCATTGAACTTTGGATAAAATATGTCAGATTTTTAATTACGTGTCCTTATTTTTCGTTAAAAAATAGGAAAAAAATAAGATATAAAAAAAAAAAAATGATAACGAACAACGAAGAAATATTTCAAAAATAAAAACCAAGGGAAATAAACAAATAGATTCCTCGCATTTCTTTTGAGTAACCCATTTATTTAACGATTCGTTTCTTGACAATATCCCTCCTCTCCCTATCATTTTAAGCATGGAAGCAGCCAAACAATTTACTTTGTTGAGGATGCAAGCAAGTCGGAAATTTTTGGAGGTGTTAGGGGGCCTTAGATTGCACCAAAATTCAGTGGAACATCTGCGCCGTTGTTTAATCTAATTTGTGCAAAGACGACGCACCGCATTTAGAATTCGGGCCGAAAACTTTGACAAGTTATTTTGCATTAAGATCAATATTTCTGAAATGTAGGTGTTAAACAATCCGATATCTCAGAATACGAGAATAAAGGAATGAATTTTCCTTTTGTTATCTGACAGCTAATTTTAACAAATGTTTATGTTTGAACGAATGTGTGTATGTCCTGTTTTTTTTTTTAAAATGATTCTTGCAGCTGCGTGTCTCTCAAGATTTAAGAAGCATGCTATTTCATTGTAGTACTTATTTTGCAAAATACATTTATTACAAAGTATTCTTTTCATTACAGAACGAGGTATAGGTCTTTAGTTGTAAATATCTATAATATCCATTCTTTGAATAGATGTCAGTTGTATATGTCCGAAGTAGTTTAGGATTCTAAAAAAATTATTCATTAAAGAAGCTTTTCATTAGCGCGTTATGTTTGACTGATCAAAGTTGGTTCTTTTATATAAAATCTGAAGAAACGAGATCTATAAAATATTAAATAAATATTTCGTATTTGTAAAGGTCTAAATTGGTGGAATTAGAGAATGGAGATCATTTGAGCATTTCATACAGCTGAAATAACTAAACGTAACATTAAATTCATTAAATTAAGAGTTTCTTATCTCGTAAATTCTCGTTTGTAGGACTCTCATCCGGCTTCTTGATTTCCAGTCAAATTAAATGCAATGTCAATTGTCATCTTCTATCCTCTTAATTGTTTTTTTTTTTATTGTTCTCGGCATTAAGTTTTTTTTACTATTGTTTTTTACTATTTTTCCACACTTAGTAAGCCCTTTGCAGCATAGAAGCTTTATTGCCTTGCTTGGGGTGAAATAATAATAATAAAAGAACAAACAAAAACGAGTATCCAAATCTTTGACAGTATCCATCTTGTCTAATTAGGACAATTACGGCATTTTTCTCTCTCTCTCTCTCTCTCTCTCTCTCTCTATATATATATATATATATATATATATATATATATATATATATATTTTAAGCATTTCACCCCAAGTAAGGCGGAATGCCACTAGTACGCAATGGGGTTACAGAGTGGGAGCGAGAGTAAAAGATGCGTGATGGAGGAAAGGATGAAGAGAAGAACAGGGAATAGGTCAGGGCATCTGGAGATGTCGATTGACATTACATTGGAATAGTTGGAGATTATAGCTATCAGGGAAACAAGTAAGAGGAAGGGAATTCCACAGACGGGAGGTGCGAGACATGAAGCTATTGGAGTAGAAGTGACGGTCACATTTAACCGTTTCGACATTGAAAGGGTGGAACCTTGACGCTAGCCTAGTAGTACGCTTAAATTCATGCAGTCTGGGAACAAGCGAATATAGCACGTCGGAGCAGTTACCGTGAAAGTATTTGTAGAAAAGACAGAGGGAGGCGACGGCACGTCTGTGAGAGAGCGACTGTAGACGAGATGCCAGATCAGGACAAATTTGGTTAAAGTCAGACAATAGTTCTTTGTTAAGAATTGTTTTAATTTATTTTTCTATATTTATGATCATTTTCTTAATTTCTAGTCGACACACACACACACACACACACACACACACACACACACACACACACACACACACACACATATATATATATATATATATATACAAAACAAAAAATATTAATATACAACCCCGTGTGTCTGAAAATGTTTAATTTTTTAATGTTTTATTGTTCAAAATACACACACACACACAAGTGTGTGTGTGTGTGTGTGTGAAACTAACCAACATCTAATTTGATATTCTTTTTTCGGAAATAAATTGAAACGAGGCCTAAAGGTAAACAAAACACACCTACCCAGTAAAGTGCTCGAAGCCTAGATTGCCAAGACAGACCAAAAACATTTACCAACATGAAATCCTATGAAAGGATGCTCGTTGTCGTAAGCACACGCACGCACACACACACACACACACGCACACACACACACAGTATTTTTTACAGATATCAGCAAAAATAGATCAATAAAAATACATTAAGATAAGCATCCTTAGGAAAAATATGTTTTAGTCCCACTGAAGACTTATTTATATATTGATCCACTTTACTCATGAATATCGAATGACGGCCTGAAAAGTTGCGATAAAAACAAGTGAGATTAAGATGAAAGAAATGCGAGTCTAAAAATTAATAATCATTGACAATGCTTCATCTAACATTTAAAAAGGCAGTATTACTGCTACTATTACCATATATGTGTGAACCTGAAAGTGTTCTTAGTTGCTATTCAGATTTAAAAAACAAAAAAAAACTAAACAAAACTAAGATTGTTTATTGTCTCTATTAAAACTTAATTTCTGCACATCTCATCTGTTAGAAAGTCAGCTCCGAATTGGCGGACATGCAAAAATAAATGAATACATAAAATTCAAGTTGCCTTGAGGCTTGGGTGGTCGAATGGTCTATTTTCACTCTCAATGGTGGGTACGCACGTGTTCAGAGGTAAAATAACACGTGGCCCTTCGCTTCCTATTCCTCCTCGCCATTCTCTGAGCCGTTGTCATATAGAACGCTGTTTCTTCTGCCTTCAGCCATGTGGCCCTTGTCAGAAGACATGTTTAATTAGTGGAGAAAGATTAGGCCAACACTTGACACTATCTGGGTAAGACAGTCCCACAAAAAGAACTATATGTATCTGTTTATATATATATATATATATATATATATATATATATATATGGGAGAGGTTATAGTAGTTCCAACGAGAGAAAAGTGTGTATATTAAAAAGAAGAGAGAAACCGCAAACATTTTTGGTTGTAAGGTGGATTAAAAAAAAAAAAAATATTATGCTTTATTTTCCATAATTTGGCTACACGCGTTTCCGGTCTCGTGACCTTCATCAGGCAAGGGTTGCTATTTCCACATATTAAAAGAAATTAATTTTTCTAATGTTTTTCGATGTTAAATATTCTCGATATTATTAAAAATATATTTCTTCTGCTTCAATATTAGAAAGAAAAATACGTCGTGATTGTTATTTTAAAAAAAAAAACAATACACACTGACCTCACATATTTCCTAATACAATCAAAAGCGATCGTTTTAGTGTAATTAAAACTAAACGAATACAGAAATGTATGGGAGAACTCTCTCTCTCTCACACACACACACACACACATACACACACACATATATATATATATATAGATCCGACAGTATGAAGAAAAATATACTGAAAAACAAACAAAAATCCTAATATGCGATTAAAACAGCATAATCGCATATTCGGATATTTGTTTGTTTTATCATTTTATTTTATATATATATATATATATATATATATATATATATATATATATATATTATAAATTGATTTATTTAAAATATGTTTTTTTCGCTACATTTTAAATAAATCAATTTATATATTAATCTCTATAAATTTTACATTGAGCACTATTTTGTAAAATAAAAATATCTATAAGAACACCGGATTATATATCTTACTGTTCTTTCTTTATATATATATATATATATATATATATATATATATATATATATATATATATATATAAGTTCTATTAAAAAGTGACTGACATGGTACTGCTGTTAAGTTTTTATTTAATTTTTCTTTTCTTATAATTTTCTTCTTTTCCGGAGATAAATTATGAAGATATTTTCTTAAGTTCTGCATATTCGAGCGCTTTCGGCTATACTTTTAGCCTTTATCAAGGATGATTTTTTACTTTTAACTGTATGTATGGATTTAAAAATCATCCTTGATAAGAATGTGCCAAAGCAGAAAAAAATGTTTGTTTATGCGGAAATTCGTTAAGCGAGCGCTATAATATTATGATAAGCCGATTCGTATAGTAGCTTGCGTGTTTATGAATGTAAGTTTAGACGAACGTAGTATTTTTATTATAGACAGAAAAAAAAAAGACACCAAGGCATGCATAAATGGATATAGAACATGAGCAATTGTCC